TTCTTTCTGTGGTACATTTTGGCCTATTATCCCTGATTAAAACATCCTTCTGATGGCCAGTTTTACACTGATTTTTTTTATCAGTGTTCTCTTAATTCCTGTAGCAAAACACCTGCCCGTATTCTTTTTCTCTAGTACTCTTTGGCCAATTCTCCCTCATTAAAAATTTCCTGCTGCTGGCCAGTTTTACACTGCTGTATCATTTGGGTCTCTTAGTTCTTAATGAGAGCTTGATAGAAATTGACCATTTGTGGAACAGTTTTTTTTTAGCAAGAGCAGGGACAGTCATAGCAAACTATTAGCCAATTAATACGTGCTCTTGGTACATGCTGTCACCAGGACTGTGTGAAAATTGTACTTTTCTATAACATAATAATATACAGCTTTTCCCAAAGTATGTTCCTTCAAGGATTTGTGCATTTTTAAAGTTGCCCTTGAAGCTGCATAAAAGACCCTCCCTCAATACCCCAATATATATTTTTCTTTTATAAAAATTATATTTCAGCTCAAAAATTAAAATAATAATGATGCCATCAGTGATAAAATAATGAAAACAAATAATATAAAAAATGTATACTGATAATAATGAAAAAAGTCCACTGTCCCAAATTAAACGGTGATACAGTGCTCCAATCAGAAAAAATGGTGCCAAAGAAAATCAGATGTGTTCCTTAAATAATATCCCCACACCATCCGTGATCATCTTCTGGTACAAGCCACACTCACCAGATTTGATGGACTCTTAGCTTGTATGGCTTGAGTCAAATAATTTTTTATGGTGAAAGTACGTTCTCCAGCATGAACCAGATCAGAACAGATCAGAGAGTGGGTTGGAGAGATTAAACAGTGAGCTGGATTTTGTAAGAGGTGTATCTTCTAAAGTCGCTTCTGTGCCATTTGTCTTGATCAAATTTGACCATAAAGCAGGAAAAAAAGAAAGAAAAAGTCGCTCTAGGTATGTGGTCTTTGGAGATTGTCAAGCAAGTATTTTCTGTTCTGATCTGGTTCATTCTGGAGAACACACTTCACCATAAAAGCTAATTTGACTCTTAAGCCATACAAGCTAAGAGTCCATCAAATCTGGTGAGTGTGGATTGTACCGGAAGGTGCTCACAGATGGTGTGGGGATATTATTTAAGGAACACATTTGATTTTCTTTGGCACCTTTTTTTCTGATTGGAGCACTGTATCACCGTTTAATTTGGGACAGTGGACTTTTTTCATTATTATCAGTATAAAATTTTATAATTTTTGTTTTCATTATTTTATCACTGATGGCATCATTATTATTTAAATGTTTGCACTAAAATATTCTTTTTATGTTTGGTGGTTTTTTACCTTATGGACAGTGGAATTATTTATTTGGATTATATTATAATTTGTAGGCGCGGGTTAATTTTATACACATATACTTTTCTTTTACTTTTTTTTTTTTGCATTGGGACACGTCTCCCACGGCAACTTCCCATGCCTTTGTTAAACAGTAGTTTGCCTATTAACCCTAAAAATGATCAGAATTTAGCAACAAAACTCAACCCCATAGATCTCAACAGAAGTTACCGCAATGCTTAGGTTTACTACATTTTAAAGTCAATTCACCAAACTCTTGGTAAATCAAACCTAGGCAAGAGTTGCTCATTACTAGTTGAGATTAGAGATGAGCCGACTTTGGCTGTTTGAGCATTTGGACAAAAAACTGAAGATTATCCCATTTGGCCTCTGTTCTTCCGATATAGATATACAGTAGATATCACCAGTTCTTAAGGAATCCACAGGTGGTTGCATCTGAGACATTCTTAGGAACAACTGACATTACAGGGAATCCCTGTTCCTTTTTAGCAAAGGGACAGGAATAGCAGTGACATAGCTGGCCAAATAAGGCCACTGACTATACTTAGGCAACAATGTCATCACCATCCCCCACATCTCTTATTCATTTGATGACAACATGGATGACCAATCTTTCCAAATGACAGCTCCTCAAGCTATAGAAGGGAAAGGAGAGGGATAGTGGTGACATTATTGACCAAATATGGCCATGGTCATATTTGGACAGTGATGTAACAGCTATTCCCCGTCCCCTGCTTAAATGTAGTAGGGATTCCAGATCCTTTTAAGGACATTGGTTAATTTAGCCTTGCCCTTTGACCCCTATATATTCTGTTGTGGTCATTCAAGGTTTGTTTCATCTGGTTTCTGTTAAATTGATCACCGTGGAATTAGAAAGCAGATTGAACAAATTGATTTTTGAACTACTAAGCAGAGCCTACATATTTAACAAGGAAATATCTCATACAGCATATAAGTACAAATTAGTTTAAGGCAATTTTTTTAAAATCTTGCTGGGCCCTAGCCCAAAAATCTCCAATGGTCCAACATGTCTCCTGCATAGTTACAACAACTGTGCTCCAAAAGGTCAAGCAAAAAGTATTTTCAGAAAGAGGACATCAATGACATCTCTCAAATTCTCTTCGGTTTTCAAAAAAAAAAAAAACTATAGAAACCTTTTTGTGACAGCAGTTTAATTCCCCAGATGATGACATTCTAATTATAGGGGCTGTGGTCCTAAAGAAAGTTTTACTTTTTCTATTTTTGTTAAAGCCTGAACCACAAACACTTGTCCACAACCAGAGGTCCCTCAAGGCATTAGTGGCAGTCCACAAACCCTTTAGAAAATAACTACTTCAGTCTGTGGCTTTCCTGAAAATTGTACATTTATGTTTGAAGCCAAAATGGTGTTTTATGCTTTAACTTTTTTCTTTTATTATTCACATTAATTTTTCATGCACAACAGTTGCCAAAGGAGTGCATCCTTCCTTTGTGGGAATAACTTATTACAACCAATTATCCTTCAGCATTAAAAATCTGACAATGGTTCTAGCCTTCTTCTAGTCTACATTTTTTTGAATGTTTGTGACCCTCTTTGGGATTACCCTTCTCCTTTTTTTGCAGACATACTGACCCTGGTACAGGAAGTTAGGGCAAATTTCCCCAATAGGGCCACAGAGAGGTGTAAAAATTGAAAGGGGCCTGCTATGGAAAGAAAAAAGAAAGATTTGGTTGGAGATGAACTTTAAGGATACACCATGCAAGGGCAGAGTAATAGTTCTTTGTAAAGGTCTTCACCTGCCCAAGTTATACTCACCTTACATGCACTCCATCACAGGACTTGTCTCCACTACAGTCAATTCTATATAAAAATGTAGCGCTTACCCCCGGAGGTTCTGCCAAACTAGTGCAGAGGCTGCCAGTCACACAAACACAGTCCCACGCACACAGAAAATTCAGGTTCAGACTAGGGGATGTCTTTTTATTATTATTATACAGGATTTATATAGCGCCAACAGTTTGAGCAGCGCTTTACAATATAAGGGAGACAGTACAATTACAATACATTTCAGTACAGAAGGAATGTGAGGATCCTGCTCATGGAGCTTACAATCTAAAGGAAGGGGGAGTTTTTAGCATTTATTGCTGAAAAACTTTAACAGGAGAGGGGTTTAGGGTCACAATATACTCCAAAATGATCAATAGCAATAAAAAGGAGGACAAACTTCTCATTAATAATCTAGCAGCATCCTTTTCTGGAGGTGAGAGGGAATGGCCAGTATATCTAGGACCCTACAGCAGGGGATCATATAGCCACATCTGGCACTTAGTTCCCTTCTGGCCCTTACACAACTAATAGTCCCCTGCAAGGTCTGTACTCACAATGTCCCAGGAGCTGTCTGCCACCCAGCGTCCACATGTAGATCCTCATGAAGGAGACTACAAGATGCTTCTCCAGACCAGGACTTCAGTACAGTGCCCTCCAGCAGACATCCATTGGCAATCTTCTCCAGGCTCTAAGCCCAGCAGCTGCTGAGGCATAGACTGTAATGTCTTGTATCAGTAAAGCTGCCTCCAGGAGCAACAGCCCCAAGAGGACCAGATCCCTCCTTGAAGGGAAAAGGATACTTTGGAAAGGCTTCCCAAACATTTATCACCTACCCAGCCACATTCTGTAGGCCTCATTCCAAGGATTGGCTGGGATATGATAAATATTCACACTGATCATTTGAATCTCTCTGCTCTATACTCTGGAAATTTCTTTCAGAGGCAGGTAGGAGGAATCAAATCTTCCACGCAGGAAACTCTGAAAAGACCAAAACAATCAATCACTGCTCTACTCACTACAGTGAAGTCAAAAACTACATTTATCCTAGAAGCCTATCTAGAGAGAGGTGCTACACCCAAAAAAAAAAAGAAAGAGGGATCTCTATTTGGTCTTGTTTAAAGAGTCCTTTTGCATGGGAAATATCGTAATCAGCAATCGAGTGCTGCTCATCATAGTACACATTTTCAGTCCAAAAGGATATTTCGGATTGTAGTCATAAAAAATTGGCAGAGCTATTCATCCTGAAAAACTGCATGTATTTGTTCTATACTAATGCTGCAAAATCAAATGTTACTAGGCTACTCTGTCTCTAGGATGGATGTTCTTCATTCAAAAGTATAGTGTGAATCAGAAAAATACCACATCATGGCCACTAGATGGAAATACATACTTACTTACTATGATCCTCAGTTCCACCTAGTGGCCATAGTGTGGTATTTTCCTAATTCACACTGTTCTTATGAATAAAAAACATCCAACCTGGAGAAAATATAACGTAGTGACATTCAATTTTACCGGCATTTGCACAGAACCAATCCACATGCAGATTTTTTGCAGGAGGAATGTCACTGCAAATTATTTATAAATACACCGATTTAACCACCTCCCGCCATATAGTAATATGACGGACGCAAGGCGGTTCTCTCGTTCTGGGAGGACGTCATATGACATCCTCCCATTCTCACCGTGCATGCGCGGTTTCCGGAGCACGCAGCGTGGCGATCGGCGGTGCACTGTGTCCCTCGAACACAGTGGATCACCGATCCATGGAAAGAGCCGAAGATGTCGGCTCGGTCATGTGATCAGCTGTGTCCAATCACAGATGATCGCATGTAAACAGGGAAATGCCAGTTATCGGCATTTCTCTCCTCACAAGCTGTCACGCTGACACAGCTCGAGAGGAGAGGAGAGCCGGTAATCGGCATTCCTCGGAGGGGACATCTACACAGATCATCAGGGCACTGATAATCAGTGTGCTCTGATGATCTGTGTAGCCCCAGCAGCGCCACCTGTCAGTGTCCATAAGTGCCAGCTCTCAGTGCGCATCCATGCCACCTGCCAGTGCCCATCAGTGCCACATTTCAGTGCCCATCAGTGCCACATCAATGCCACATCAGTGCCCATCGGAGCTGCCTTTCAGTGTCACCTATCAGTGCCAGTCAGTGCCACCTATCAGTGCTGCCAATCAGTGCCACCTATCAGTACCAGTCAGTGCCGCCTATCAGTGTGCATCAGTGCTGCCTATCAGTGCCTGTCATTGCTGCCTATCAGTGCCACCTAACAGTGCCAGTCAGTGCCGTCTATCAGTGCCACCTATCAGTGCTGCCTTTGAGTGCCCATCAGTGATGCCTGTCAATGCCCATCAGTGATGCCTGTCAATGCTCATCAGTGCCACCTACCAGTGCCTCCTCATCAGTGCCCATCAGTGCCACCTATCAGCGTCCATCAGTGCAGCCTGTCAGTGCCCATCACTGCAGCCTCATTACCGCACATCAGTGAAGGAGAAAAATCACTTATTTACAATATTTTATAACAAAACCTAAGAAAAAACTTTTTTGTTTCAAAATTTTCAGTGGTTTTTGGTTTGTTTAAGAAAAAATAAAAAACCCAGAGGTGATTAAATACCACCAAAATAAAGCTCTATCTGTCACAAAAAAATGATAAAAATTTCATATGGGTACAGTGTTGCATGACCGCGCAATTGTCATTCAAAGTGTGACAGCGCTCAAAGCTGGAAATTGGCCTGGGCAGGAAGGGGGTATAAGTGCCCTGTAGGCAAGGGGTTAAATCATACATAATATTTTTTCTATAAGTCTATTCAAGTCCTCACTCAATTTTTCTAAGAGGAGTGGTTTTGCCCCTGAAACATATTGACTGTTTTTTATGTAATTGAATTGCAAACAAAATACAGTTGTGTCCAAAATTATTCAACCCCCAATGCTGTAAAGGGGTTTAGGGACTATAGTGTACATTTGGAATTGTATTCAGAATCAAATCCTACAAGGACGTTGTAACTACCCAAATGCAACTAAAATGACATCAATTGTTTATGTAATACAGTAGTAAATGGTTCTTATGTGGTTTCTTCATTGCCACAATTATTCAACCCCTTAAAGACTACCACTCTGAAGAACAGAGGTTCATACAGGTGCTTTCCATCAGGTATTGAAAACACCTGTGGATGTCACCGAGCAGCAATCAAGCATAATAAGCACCAATTAGGCAGCTTTAAAATGACTGTGATACTCAGCTCCTTCTAGACATTTACTGGTGTGGTTACAAACATGGTGAAGGCAAGAGAATGGTCCAGGAAGACAAGAGAAGAGGTGATTTCTCTTCACAGGAAGGGCAATGGCTATAAGAAGATTGCAAAGATGTTAAACATACCAAGAGACACCTTAGGAAGCATCATTCGCAAATTCAAGGCAAAGGGCACTGTTGAAACGCTACCTGGTCGTGGCAGAAAGAAGATGCTGACTTCGACTGCTGTGCGCTACCTGAAGCGTAGAGTGGAGAGAAGTCCCCGTGTGACTGCTGAGGAACTGAGAAAAGATTTGTCAGATGTGGGTACAGAAGTTTCAGCCCAGACAATAAGACGCACACTGCGTAATGAAGGCCTCCGTGCCAGAACTCCCAGGCGTACCCCCTTGCTGTCTCCAAAGAATAAGAAGAGTCGACTGCAGTATGCCAAAAGCCATGTGGACAAACCACAAAAGTTGTGGGATAGTGTTCTGTGGACTGATGAAACAAAATTAGAACTGTTTGGGCCCATGGATCAACGCTATGTTTGGAGGAGGAAGAACAAGGCCTATGATGAAAAGAACACCTTGCCTACTGTGAAGCATGGTGGAGGGTCAATCATGCTTTGGGGCTGTTTTGCTTCTGCAGGTACAGGGAAGCTTCAGCGTGTGCAAGGTACCATGAATTCTCTTCAGTACCAGGAGATATTGGATGGAAACGTGATGCAGTCCGTCACACACCTGAGGCTTGGGAGACGTTGGACCTTTCAACAGGACAATGATCCCAAGCATACCTCCAAGTCCACTAGAGCATGGTTGCAGAGGAAAGGCTGGAACATTTTGGAGTGGCCATCGCAGTCACCAGACTTAAATCCGATTGAGAACCTCTGGTGGGACTTAAAGAAAGCAGTTGCAGTGCGCAAGCCTAAGAATGTGACTGAACTGGAGGCCTTTGCCCATGAAGAATGGGCGAAGATACCCGTAGATCGCTGCAAGACACTTGTGTCAAGCTATGCTTCACGTTTAAAAGCTGTTATAACTGTAAAAGGATGCTGTACTAAGTACTAAGATTGAATGTCACTTGGGGGTTGAATAAAACTGATAATGCTGTGAGCACAGAAAAGACATTTGTGGTTATTTCATTATAACTGTTATGTTATATTTGTCTGACCTACAAGTGCCTCTTTAATGTAAATGTAAGCAAGATGACTGAATGATCAAAAGCAATGTCAAACTGGCCAAAACACTCAATTTCAGTGGGGGTTGAATAATTTTGGACACAACTGTATTGTATTCTAGACTCTCCCACTGTTTGGTTTTTGCGCCCTTTTCTATATGTTTACACTAGAGACCTTCACCAGCCTAGATTAATGGCGATCTCCAAGCATTCTGCTTAATACACAGTTGAAATACATATACGGCAATTATTTTAAATGTCAAATGATTTTTAATTTTATGTAGAAAAAAATATATATATTTTTTTAGGGACAGATAGGGATTTACTTACTAAAGGCAAGTAAACTGTGCACTTTGCAAAGTGCAGTTGCGCACTGAAAGTGAGTGCAGTTACCCCAGAGCTTAGTAAATGAGCTAAAGAAATGAATTTCCAATCACATGCAAGGAAATGTAAAAAAACAGCTTTTTTGCTTGCACATGATTGGATGATGGAAGTCAGAAGAGAATCTGCCCATTTATTATGTTCTGAAGCAACTGCACTTGTAGCGAGCAACGGTAGTCTTTTTGCCTTTAGTAAATCAACCCCATATTATTTGGATGTCCATATTTTTTCTGGATTTTTTCAATGCACTTAAATTTAAATTAAACATTTGTTTACAACCTCTCTGTATATCTATAAATCCCAAACTCTGCCTTGACATTTGCCCATAACCTTATTGACTTTAAGGTAAAAATATTTTGTCTCAGCAATTAACATGAAAGGCTTCATACTTTACTCTTTTCTATGGAGTCCCATAGTCTCGGAGCTCAACATAATTTTGCATTGGGGAATGAAATTAAAATTCATATATGGCAAATATTTGACCTGCCAAAAACTTTTAATTCTGCGGAAAAAAAAATCTATTGTCCCTAATTTTCCAGAATATTTTTTGGACTGCTTGCAAATGTACACACAGTTGGCAACCTTTTGTACACCTAGAAATCCTGCACACTGCTGATTGCCTTCATATTTGCCCATAATCTTACTGACTTTAAGGTAAGAAAGTAGAGTAAAAATATTTTTTTTCTCAGTGATTAACATGAAAGGCTTCATACTTAACCCCTTTCTATGGAGTTGCATGGTACTGGAGCTCAACCTAATTTGGCATTGGGGGAAGGGGAATTTTTTTTTGTTTTAGTGCTAATCAGTTCATACAGTCTCATCTGCTCTCACTGAGACCAGCAATTAAAATTAGCACTTAATGCTTGGCCCCAAAGCTTGCTACAATTCAAAGGACATGCCAGAGAAGGAAAAAGAGACTTTTGAAAATAAATAACTGAAATAATTAGAGGGGGGTCTTGGAAATCTCTATTTCAAGACCAGCATGGGAATCTCTTTCTGCAGAGGGACAAATTACACCCATATGGTGAAGCCTGTCCCTTTAATACAGTGTGAAAGGAGGACAGTGACAGTGAGGGTGCATACGTTAGCAATTTACATACTCTACTCAGTATATGTGGCATATAAAGGGAAAGCACAGGCCGGTGTACAATGTAAAATGCAATGGCAGGGGTGTAAGACATATGTATCTCTATATCTGCTTTAGCTTACCTACAGCTCTTTTGGTATCCCAAGAAAAGTGATATTTAAAGATAGAAATGATAGAAATCAGATCTTCCATACGGGTTTCTTGTTATGACCAGAAAAGTGATATTTGAACATAGAGAGTGATTCCAATCTTCTATTTATAACTGTTGTATGCATTACTTACCTATCCTTCTTCTGCACCCAACATGCTGTAGAAGACCTCCTGTGGCTGGGTAACATCTTCAGGAGCCAAAGCCACGGACCCACCACATGAGTGCTCTTCTTCAGTAGTGGTGGGGAGATTGGCTCTGTTCCAGTCCCTAAAGAAGAAGTAAACTGGGGGAATCTTCAGAATTTGCTACAATGTGCAATATGGAACACTTACTCCAGCAATGTGATGTGCAAGCTCTCCACTCTATCACCATCAGTGCCATCTTCTTCCAGGTCTTCTTGCTTTGCCCGATTTGATGGCTGCTGATGATGTAATTCTTGCCCATGTGCACTGGAGTAGCAATGGCCTCCATCTTACAGTACCCTGGAAGGGGCTAGGGCAGTGCACTGTACTGCTCATGTCATGTGCAATCAGTGTGCAGAACACAAAACACTTGCCAGTTTTTTGGCAGAAGAGACTTATAATATTGTGGTTACAATTTAACTAAGCCTCTCTCTTTTGGAGTCTCTCATTATAACACGGCAGTCTTATGTAACAAAGTAACACAGGAACTTTTCAGCAATGTGGAAGCTCTCATTGTAAAATGGAGGTCTAGTAACAAAATAGCATAGCCATTTTCTAATAATGTGGAGGCTCTCTTTTTTAATGGGACAATCACATGTAACAATTAGAGATGAGCAAATCGAACTTGGCGAAGTGGAATTAGTTTCGAATTTTAGGAAAAATTTGATTTGCGTCGAATCCGAATATTAGAAAACTTCGGATGCGCGAATCGAATTTTCCCCGATCGGTCGATTTTCATCCCTTCTACAGCCGGCAAAAAGTGTCCCTGCAGAGAGCTCCGCTATTTCTGACAGTTCTCTGACAGTTCCTTCACATTTACAGCGGTTGAAACATTGTATCTATTTGTTTCCATTTAGGATACAGATGTTTTTATTCGGAAACAAATAGATACAATGTTTCAACCGCTGTAAATGTGAAGGAACTGTCAGAGAACTGTCAGAAATAGCGGAGCTCTCTGCAGATACACTTTTTGCTGCACTGGAATTCTTCTTCATCCTCATCCTACTTCTTCTTCTTCTTCTTCTTCTTCATCCTCATCCTACTTCTTCTTC